CTCTCTCACTGTCTCTCCCTCTCTCTCGCTCTCTCTCTCTCTCTCTCTCTCTCTCTCTCTCTCTCTCTCTCTCTCTCTCTCTCTCTCTCTCTCTCTCTCTCTCTCTCTATATATATGTATATATATACAGCTATGTATACATAAATATATGCACTGACTTTTTAAGAGAAATCCCCGAAAGAATTCAGGACATCACATACTGGGCATCATCCACATGAGCCAGGGCCTTCGTCCAGCACTAAGTATATATATATGTATATATATATACATACATGTGTATGTATGCATGTATGTACATGTGTATGTCTATGCAATTCTACGCATTTCTACATCACTGTGATGCCCCCAAGAAGTGGTTGTTTGGCTCATGTTGAAACTTACACAGGCACATGAACACTGATGGATATTACCTAATGCCCAGATGCAGAGAAGAAGTGCCCAAGTAGATGCAGGTGTATGTACATGCACATACACACAAGACAAACATGACACATACATACATAGATACATAGACACTGAGGTATATGCACAGAGACACACCTAAACACATATAGATACTCCTGCATACATGCACATACATACAGACATGTTTGCTCGCAGGAGTTTTGTCCTATACATGTACAGACCAATACATACATACCTACACACATGCAGACAGACAGACACACAAGGCACACATACATACATCACAGAATTGCTCGGTAGTAGTAACCTTCAGACGAAAGGCGAAACCAATGGACCAGTACAGATGTCATCAACTAGACTTCGTGCGAACAGTGAAACTCACCCCCTAGTCCACTCTCTCTGTCACAAAATCTGAAGAAGCACGATCCCAGAAAAGGGGTGGTCCTTCAATCCCGCAACCAAGCTGGGGCATCATGCCATCCAGCAAAAAGCCGGGCCATGTCCCACCTGAGCAGGTCAAACCACTACGAGAAATCAAGATGATCTGCATCGCCTATTTCTTTTCATGATGTTATTGTTTCTTATTGCTGAGCACTCATCTGTACGGGGTGCACACGATGCAGAGCGCAAGCCCAGTGTGAGAGACAGAGATAGACAGAGAGAGAGAGAGAGAGAGACACACACAGGGAAGGTATCGTTCAAGCAGCATATTGATTTCTGTGTTGCCAATGGCAGTGCTACTTGCATATGAGCACAAAAGCAGCAACTGCCCTGAGGCTCTAGCGCATTCACGACTCCACCAGACAGCCTCCAGGCAACGTTGACCCCGCCCTTGGTATTGTCCTGTGACACAGGACGAAATTACCGGAAATGCAAGCTGCACACTCTCCAAACATTCGGCAATGCTCGATGGATGCAACACAAATCTAGGAACTGTGTATTTCTCACTTGCCATGCAATCGGCTGAAGGCTTAGAAGGGTACTTTATATAGCTTGCCAAACCATATCCAACAGCACAAAAGAATCAGCAGCAGTCTTGATTCTATTCAACAGAGATGGACACACAACCCAGCAGATGCTGCACCTTGTAGCTGGTCAGAAGCTTCTCGTTGACACGGGCAATCATCTCTTTGGCCACTTTGCTGCCCGGATTGACATAGAACGACTGTTCGGGGATCCTGGGCGAGGCAACTGCTTTTGTGTTTATGAGTGCATGCATGTTTGTATGCATGTATGTATGCACTTATGTACACATGTATGTATGCATGGATGGATGGGTGGGGATCTGTGACATGTATACGGCTTCTGTATGCAGGAGTGTATAACAATATGTTTGTGTGTATACTAGACTCACCAGACATTTATGTGTACATACATGTAAGCATGCCTGCATGCATAGGTGGATGCATGTATATGTCTTTGTACATACCTCTATAAACATGCACATTGATGGATACACACTCACACTCAGACACTTGCCTTCAGCAGCACACTACCTCCTGCAGCATGCTGGTATAGCAGCATACAAAACTTGCTTGGAACCTGGCCGACAACAGATGGTCACATAATGCCGGTTCTGGGCATTGAGCTTCACCATCGTCTCGTCGCTGGGGTAAAGTGTGAAGGACCTGAGCTCAACACCCCCCAAAGTGGAACATGTCAAACACTCTTTGGGTTAACTCAGAGTGACAAAACAGTCACACCCAGAGAACAACTCCAGGCATTGTGTGAGTAGCACACTGACATATTCATATTGACAAAGGGGCTTGGAGTTGGCATGAAACTTGAACTCGGGATCCATGCTCGCGAGCTTTTTCAGCAAGACCACAGTAGGATCCTGCTGGAGCCAGTGCCCATGCAAATGAATGCAAATTTCAAGAGGCAACAGCGACCTGAGCTTTTAATACCCCACAAAACAGTGCCATGGCACACTGCCTCATGCAAAGCTTAAACACAAACTCCGTCCTATCCTATCGAATAAACGAGGCACACATCCCTGCAAAGTGCAAACACACCCAGACATTCCAGGAAGCATCACCACACACATTACATACACAGGGCAAAGGCACCACTACAAGATTCACCTGATGCACTC